GGGTGACGTGTGGTCCCCGGGGGTGACGTGTGGTCCCCGGGGGTGACGTGTGGTCCCCGGGGGTGACGTGTGGTCCCCGGGGGTGACGTGTGGTCCCCGGGGGTGACGTGTGGTCCCCGGGGGTGACGTGTGGTCCCCGGGGGTGACGTGTGGTCCCCGGGGGTGACGTGTGGTCCACGGGGGTGACGGGTGGTCCACGGGGGTGACGTGTGGTCCCCGGGGGTGACGTGTGGTCCCGGGGGTGACGTGTGGTCCACGGGGGTGACGTGTGGTCCACGGGGGTGACGTGTGGTCCACGGGGGTGACGTGTGGTCCCCGGGGGTGACGTGTGGTCCCCGGGGGTGACGTGTGGTCCCCGGGGGTGACGTGTGGTCCACGGGGGTGACGTGTGGTCCACGGGGGTGACGTGTGGTCCCCGGGGGTGTCGTGTGGTCCCCGGGGGTGACGTGTGGTCCACGGGGGTGACGTGTGGTCCACGGGGGTGACGTGTGGTCCACGGGGGTGACGTGTGGTCCCCGGGGGTGACGTGTGGTCCCCGGGGGTGACGTGTGGTCCCCGGGGGTGACGTGTGGTCCACGGGGGTGACGTGTGGTCCACGGGGGTGACGTGTGGTCCACGGGGGTGACGTGTGGTCCACGGGGGTGACGTGTGGTCCACGGAGTGACTGGGGGTCCGTGGGGGTGACTAGGGGTCCGTGGGGGTACGTGGGGGTGACTGGGGTCCGTGGGGGTCCGTGGGGGTGGGGACCTTGAGGTCCATTGAGTGGCTTGGTGGGGACTTGTGGGTCCAGTGCAAGCTTTGTAGAGGTCGAGTGTGGCCAACCTTGACCTTAAGTGGAGTGAAAGGTCAGGAACGTGCACGAAAGTATCGTAGCTTCACCTCACCCCCAGCACGTGAGGGCACCTTTCCCACCCCTCCCTCACCTGCCCCCCTGCTCTTCTCATCCCTCGTCCCCTCCACACACACTCCACCCCCACAGATGGTGGCCCAAGAGCTTGGATCTACCCATGGAAATCAAACCCCACAATACACCACTCTGAAATACAGACCAGAACCCTCCCCATTAATAATAAATGATATAAATAATAAAATAGATTCGCAAACAGAATATCAAAATATGTACACAGGCATCTGAGTGTGTATATATGGGAATGTCATAGACATTCACATATATTGAAATATTCTTGAGAAACTTTGCACACTCCCAGCTCCCAGACAAGAGAGAGCAAGCTTACCTTAGCTGCCAACACACGTATCGAGTCAGCAAGGCGGACAGTCTGCCCGCTATCATGACTCATATTTCCCATTTCTATACTTTTCCCTTGTGTCTCCCCATCGCTGCCTCTCGGGAATGGTGAGAGGCAGTGAGGTGTAAGTGATCCACTGTCCTCCTACACTGCCATATTGATCTGTTCTCATTCTCTTCACTTCCATCCCTTTATGTGAATATGTCCCTCCCCTATAACCAGGCTGCCTCACATCACGCCCCAGCCAGTCCATCACCGCACTTCCCCATCAACTGTGTTCCGGCGCCGTCAATCTAGAGCTCCGCTCCATATGAACCCATATTCTATGGTGGCGGAGAGACGTGAGGGGGAGGTGGAGAGAGACGCGTGCGGGAGGTAGAGAATGGATGGATGGATGAATGAATGAATGAATGAATGAATGAAGCAAGCAAGCTAGCTAGCTAGCTAGCATGCTAGCATGCTTGCTTGCATGCTTGCTTGCTTGCTTGTCCGCCCCCGCCAGCATATACCAATAGTGTGCGCACATAGTGTAGTACCCCGTAGTTTTCATGCGCCCCTCTACCCACCACTGTGTATTAGCAGCAGCAGGTGGGATAGGGGATAGGCTTCACCCACCCGCCTGGAGAGTAGTATCACAAAATCAGGAGGAATTGGGTCACTGGTGGCTCTTCCATGTTCCCTTCATGGTTCAGTAAAGGTCAAAGGTGGGCGGGCGAGTGAGCGTACCCCACCCACCCACCCACCTACCAGGCCGCCCACTCACGCCCACTTGCTCTACCTACCCCCTAGCTCACGCCTGGGAATGCGTTTGGAAACTCCCTGGTGATGCTGGTGAGAAGTTTCCCACATCTGGTGAGGTGAAGGGGGTGGTGTCCAGTTAGTGGGGGGGTTTGGCTTGCAGGGGGACGGTATCCAAGGAGTAAGGTATATTAAAATATGACCCTGTGTATATAAGCATCGTTCATTTTTTCTAATGCAATTGACAATAATTTACTTGATGTCATCATTCATACGGACTCTAAATCTTCGCTCCAGGCATTGTTATCCAGCCAGTACAGAATAATATACAACTCATCACAGAAATCCTTTTTTTTTATTAACAACACATTTAGGTACTGTACATTTGCATTTGTGCAGCTACTCTAGACTATATGGAGGAGAGTACAGTGTGTCACAAAGCTAGCTACGTGATGCTAAAATCCCCATCCTACAGGATGGTTAGTCATACACAGGCATGAGACCAGTACTCTGCATTGGCAAACTTTGGGGTGCATATAGTATGATAACATCATGAATACAAGAGTGAATAAGGTAGCAGTGATACTAAAAATCCCCATCTCGCAGGATGGTTAGTTATACAGGGTCATATGTTCAGTAGCCTGCACTGGCAAATTTTGGGTGCAATATGAGGATATTCTCAAGAAACGATAGTGAATAAAGTAATTGAAAAGCTCCAGGTACTTCATGCCAAAGGGTCTGAATGGGCTAATAACTGGGCATTCAGTGATGTAATGTGGGAGATCATGCCGCAGTTCCTGCTCACAGAGTTTGCACCTGGAGTGCTCAGGATTGGGAGATCCGTCACCTGTGGCCACCTGCCACAGGTAACGGTAACCCAACCTGATCCTTGCAACCACTGTGTCGCACAGTCTGGTAGACGTTTTGTGCTGTCCATAGATATAGGTTTCGGATCTGAACAAATCATAGCTTTTTATACTGGTGCTTTCAGGTCATTGGGAGTCAGTAATTTCTCTCCTATCAGACCTGAGTGTTTGGAACAATATAGTTTGACAGCAGAGATGGGAATACCTAGGTCTATATCAACATCATCATTGTTACACGCAAATATGGCTGTAATATCTGTCTCATTATGATGGGTTATATTTATGTGTGATGGTATCCATATAAAGGAGATTCAAAACCATTTACTCTGTGCAGCAATTAGGTCATTTATAATTGGTAGTATGAGGTTCTTGTTGTCGATCTTCCAGGAGCCTACATATAGGAAAAGAAGCACACAATCTAGGGATGTCAATCACCCTAAATTGGATACAAGTCACATTGGCATAGAATAGATGATAATGAAAAGGCAGACTCGCTAGCAAAAACTGCCACTGCTCTACCTGTAGTACAGGTTAAAATACCTCCAAGTTTTTCACAGCCACTGGGTACTCTTCTTTCAAGCCTGGCAAAAAAGATATCCAGAGACATTGCAATAGCCATACACAGACATAAACTTGGTTACAAGTGCTGCTAGGAGGTAATAAACCCAATAGTTAAAGAGTGTCATCTGTGGAACAGATGTAGAGGCACCATTGCATGTACTGTACTTACTGGAATGTGAAGCAACTGAAGCCCTGAGCATCAAACTCAGTATTAATCTAACGAGAGCAACAGCATTAGATACAAAATCCACAGTGACTACAGTAAAATGATTTGAGAAGCAGTTGAAGAATGGGACACACTAGTGAACACTGTGCATCTATATCTGCCATCAAGATAATGTTATCAAAACAAGACGAAAATCAGTGCGCTAAACCAAAAGCAGAAAAGAAACGGGAGAAGAGGAGGAAACCCCACCTCCATTTAAAACTTTGACCCAAATATCACAGTAACAAGGTTATCGCAAATATACAAACTCGATTACAGGCTCACTATAGCCTGTGTTACATGGATATTTTGTTTTAATAGCGAAATCTAAAACAACATATAATCTTGGAAGGGGAAATATTAAAATACAGTACAGTACAGTATACAGTGTATCTCTGGATATAAAGAAGTGGCATGGCTGATACGTACAAGTATCAGATAAATATATTGTACATATATTCGGTATCGGATACCATGCACAGATGCATACAATACCTTTGTATGGGGGGGTTCAACCACTGCAAATTAACTCGAGCCCATCATCCCCCAGTAAAAATCTGTTATCGGAACTGTAATACACCCTCAGACAACACACAGCCCCTCTGTTTAAATCCCTAAACATGCTGAACCTACACTCACTCCACACACATTCTCTTGTGCTATTTACACGTACAGAACCTTGTTTCTAAATGCTAATCCTCATCTGAAACTCTTCCTTGATAGATGTAACAGAACCCATGAACATCACACCAGAAATAAATATCTCTTTGATATCCCTTGAGTCAGGCTAAATCTGTGCAAACACTCCTTGCAAATAAAAGGACCCAGTCTATGGAACTCACTCTCTAATGAATTAAAAGATTGTCCAACCTATTCCTTATTCAAAAGTAAAGTCAGAAAGTACATAATTTCATCTTCACAGTTTCCTACCTTGTGCTTCAAACACGCACTCTATCTGTGCTACCTGCTTCCCAAATATTAGTACTTAAGACATGCAAATTCACCAGCATATTAATTTTCATCTATTTATATGTACTGTAGTTACATAATATGTTGAACAAAATTGCTATATTGTTCATCTTAATAAACATATGTTAGATTAAGCCTGAAATGCTGTGTGTGTTAGTGGCTTTGCAAGAATGTAAGAACATCACTGTTATGTACTCTCAAGCCTATTGTATCTTCTGGTATATAAATATATAAATATATAAATAAATAAGTTGACTGATTGGGCTTACCCTTACACATCGGAACTCTTATTACCAGCCTCAGATAAATGTAGGCGTACGGTGTACTTCAAGCAGTATAAAATATACATTGTAAGTACAGTACTGCTAAATGAGGAGGTGAAAGTAGAGTATAATGTGATCCTCTCTTCCACAGTGGTGGAGACGTCTCGCCCTCCCATGGTTCTGGACACGATTCCGAAGCCTCAACGGAAGCTCATCCAGGCTCCCAGGTTCAACATATCTTGTGAGGTATGCCCACTCTTTGGTGTCATGCTCCTCAGTTTTGTTTTTCCCTCTGTCATGCTCTAGTCATTATTTTAGCCATTATTTTAGTCACACTCTTAGCCATTATCTTAGTCACTCTCTTGGCCACCCTCTTAGTAATTTTCGTTGCCATCAACTTAGCCACCCTCTTAATCATTATCTTGGCCACTATTTTAGCCATTACAGTATCTTAGCCACTCTCATAACCATTAACTTAGCCACCTTTTTACTAATTTTCTTAACTACCCTCTTAGCCATTATACCATTATCTTAGCAACTCTATTAGCCATTAATCTTTGTCATTAATGCCACCCTTTTAGTCATTATCTTAACTGCCCTGTTAGCCATTATCTTCGTCACATCTGTATGAAGTACAAATATATGGAGATTGCCAAAAACTTTTTTTTATAAAATACTGTGCAGTACAAATAAGTAAGATGTATAATATTTCAAAATCTTAAATACTGTATATTAAACATTTCAGGATGAAGATGAAGATGACGATTTGAGTGACATTCCCCCTTCAAGCCCACGTTTGGGTAAACACACGGTTATAGGCACATCATCACGGAGTTCTTCGCCGCAGAGCCCCCAGTCACAACCAACCTCACCTTGGTCACGAATGGGTAAGTGTCTTGCAACCCCCATGTCAAAGGCACTTGCTGCAACTATAAGGAGAGGTGTAGGCAGGAAAAGTCAAGTTCTATTTTTTTTTTTGCTTTGGAAATTCCTGCACTACTATAAAACTTGACTTCTACTGAAGTTGAGATCTATACTAATGCAGTAATTTCCATATTTAATATTTATTTGTTAACCCTTTTGTTGTGATTTTCCGTTTTCTGCCAGTTTGAACTCTGGTAAAACATTCATATATTTTCATCTATTCTTTTATTATGTTTCTAGTAAAAAAAAAAGATCTGCTAAAATCCTTAATTTTGTATAGTAGTAAATAAAACTTTTGTTTTGCAGGATTTATAAACTATTTCTAAGCAGCTGGGATATATCTGAATTAATTTATCCCACAAAAATTATTGTCAATAAATGTGAATTTAAACATTTCTTAGCTGCATGTTTTATTTGAAATTTAGATTTTCTAGCTACAGCTGTATATTTTTTTTAATGCTGTTATTTAATCATATGATATCCATTTGACCCCAGTGTGCCACGACACACCAATTTGGAACCACTATATTGGACACTCCATTTGCATGGAAGATGTGTGCATATTTAAAATGTGAACTAATGTTATATGGTAGAAAAAGGATGCATTCCAGAATTCTCATGAACTTCCTACAACAGTTCAGTAGGCTATTTACAATCTTGTTGAAAGATAGATAATAATTTACACTTGGAAAATATTAAAAAGACTGTTCCAAACCTGCACACTGAAATAATTTCTTGAGAGACCAGGAGACATAACAGAATGTGCAAATTAACGTATTACAAAGTAGAAGTGTAATGGGAATGCTTAGAGACAAATCTATAAATATTTAAGCCCTAAGACTTCAACATCTTCTAAATATAATAGGTATAACTAGTTGACATCTTTCAGCATTCAGAAGGGAACTTGGATAAACACCTCCAAAGAGTACCTCATTTAACTGAGCTTTGATTCATATGTTAGACAGCATGCAGCAGCAATTTACAGTCTGGTTGACCAGTACGTCAACTAAGCAGACTGGCCCCAGGACTGGCTGTAGAAATATTGCCTGAAATGCTATGCATGGTAGTGGCTTTGCAAAAATGTACCATTTAATCTTCAATGTACGTACTTTCACAACCCAATCAGTGTACCTTTTTGTATATACATGAATAAAATATAATAAAAATGCCTCAAGGTAACCTCAAAGAGAGTGAACGTTTTGCCAGAAGGAGTAAATCATCATTCATATTTTAGAAAGAGAGGTGGTTTGGCAGAATCCCACTCTCAAAGACTTGCAAATGTTCTAGTTTATTTCTAGATCATAATTGCCTTTTGTTTCACATGGAGTATCTTGGGTTACAGAAGAACTTTCATGATGCTAGGAAGGTGCCAGGATGCAAAGATACACAGCAAACTGGAAAGTGTGTTAATTGCAATAAGAGCATGAGGAGTCATGAGGTTTAAAAAAAGTTGTATCACGATGTGGTAAAACAGGTTTCTTATACTGTACTGCCAAAATGCGGCAGAAGTCGTGAGTCTATGCAAACACCTGCAGCACTTCTAAGTGCTTTGCCCTATGCTAACCTACACACCTTTGAATGCATTCTAACTCCTTAAGAAATTGGTGTAAAAAATAAACTGCATATTTATGAATCTGTTCCAATTAAAGACAAGCTAATTGATGGCAGCTGTGTACAAAATGCTCTAGGTAGCATTTGCCATCAAATAGGCATTGAAAAGTAGATGACTTAGGGGGAAAATAAATGGAGATACTGTACTGTATTTGCTGTCCATCTTCAGTAGGTAAATTTATAATGTCATAATTACACCTTTGTGTTAGTTGTGGCAAATCATCACATTTTGTCATTGATTTTGCACATATAGATTTACTGTGTGTCATATGTAGGGCATTTAATTGTTATTGGTGTAGTATTATTCTATTAATGACATTTATACAATTTTTCAGCATTTGACCTGGCAAACTACGGCAACACAGGCACTCCGGAACGTCGTCATTCAATAACACTGTGTGAAACTCCTTCGTTGACCCAACAGTCTTCCACTTCCATCACTCCACCATCCTCTCTTCCCCAGTCAAAAAATCCATCTGCTCCCAACTCACCGGCACATCAAGATTTTACGGCATCTGCATCTCAAACACAGAGGGACTTCTTATCCTCAGTAAGGGTTTATATTATGTACATTAACTGCTGTAATTGTATATAATATTCAAGAACTGTGTTGATATAATTTTCTTACATGCACAGTACTGTATTCAGTTAATTTGCATATCATAATTAAAGGTAATGGTGAACAGTGTACAGTACCTTACCTACTTTGAGGTTACCTTGAGGTGCTTCCGGGGCTTAGCGTCCCCGCGGCCCGGTCATCGACCAGGCCTCCTGGTTGCTGGACTGATCAACCAGGCTGTTGGACGCGGCTGCTCGCAGCCTGATGTATGCGTCACAGCCTGGTTGATCAGGTATCCTTTGGAGGTGCTTATCCAGTTCTCTCTTGAACACTGTGAGGGGATTGCCAGTTATGCCCCTTATGTGTAGCGGAAGCGTGTTGAACTGTACAGTGAAAGATAAGGGGTAGTTGGTGCTAATATAATGTCAATGTTTTCCCACCAAATCTCTGTTCACTTTAAGAAGGTCAAAACAAATATGAGCACAGTAATAAATGTAACAATTTTTGTTTTTATCAAATTATCTCTATATATAAGACATTTATGATTGCAGGCTCATTTCTCCACACGGCTGGACTGCCTGGCTCTGACTCTGGAGGAGGTGGTACACATCCGTAATGTCTTGACCAAAGCAGACCTCGAGGCTCTTCCTCTTGACCTGACCATCAAAGAGGATATGGCCAAAGGCAAAATATGTTTCCTGTGTATGAAGACCAGATTTGGTTTCTTTGGTCCTCGAGGCACCAACTGCAGACTCTGTAGGAGAACAGTGTGTAAAAAGTGTATCTCAAAGGTAAGGTGGCCACTTACTGGGCCAATGTTACCTTCTAAGTGTTTTAAAAATGAAATAAAAATATAGTGCATTGACCTACTTTTAGTTAGCACTACCATTGATTGCATACTGGTTCAAGTAATTAAAAGTAAACAGAAACAGACCTAAGTTTAACTCAGTAGGTTTTTCTTAAATACAGTAATATATTGTCATAGGAGGCTGTGAATAATGTCATTTGTTGATTTGGCTATGCCAGGACTTTTTACAGCTTTCTGCATTAGGTCTAAAAATAGTTTTTTTTCATATTCATAGAATTCATAGTTAATTTAATATTCAATTTTCATATTCATAGAATTATATATACTGTACAATTAACTGCAAAAGGTCATCAAATTAAATATAGTAGTGCCACTTGGTGAATGAGACATCAATCTTGATCTACCACATACTTTGCCAAATTCTGTGTATAACATGAACCTAATTTACAAGAATATTTGTGGATTTTTTGTATGTTTTACCATACAGATAGTTTAATTTTCAATTAAATGTATGGTAAAAGGGCAAAACATTATTTTGTGTGTAAATACTATATACTGTAGTATATATATTTGGTTGGTGGTGGACCAAAAAGGTGCATCCTATCCACTGACAAACATGATATTTATTTAGTTATTTCATAAGATTGTAGCCACAGTGTTGTAGTGTATTGTGATTTCAAAACACGTTCTTTTCCAGATGCGCATCCCAACAGAGCACTTCTCTAACATCCCGGTTCAGATGTTGACCCCCCAAGCACTGTCTCCACGAGAGGATGAAGATGATAGCATATCACTTCCAAGATCCATTCTCTCAAGACTTACGGTAATACCCTTCACTTGTATCCTATGTACATTGTATATACTTTTTATACTTGTACTAGTGTTATCAAATCAAAATTTCCTTTTAGAGTTAGCAGTCACATTAATTTGACTTAGGTTTTTGTGTTGTAATCATATGTGTAAATCAGTAAATATATAAACTTAGGATTAAACTCTTTCTATTTTTGTTGTATAATCCAATAAAATCCATGTAATTCTTTAGAATTTATATACTAAATCATTTTTCTTCTATATATTCGTTAGAATATTTTATAGATTTGTAATTTTGTATGTTTTGTATTATCATGGATTAAGATTCTGCTGCTTAGAGGAGAGCATGGATGGTTCAGACAATTATTTGTTAAATGTGTTTGTAAAATTAGGAATTACAGTACAAACAGACTCTGTTGAATAGTGCTGTTGGATGTAGATACTTTTAATGGTCCATTGTAAACTGTTTGAAGCATCCCATGGGGGGATGATGGAGTCTTTGGAAACAAGTTCATTTGAACACAATGATACAAAGGAGTACTTAGTCTAAGGAAGTGAGATAAAAAATAAACAAGATTTTTATGTGCCAACACTTGCTATATAAAGGATTCATTTGCTCTTAACAAACTGTGAAATAAATTTTATTTATTATGAGAATTAAGACAAAATATTAGCCCTGAAAACTATACACAATGGGGGAGAGTTATTAGAAAAGGAATTATAAGGAGCAATATACATTATATGGTAAGGGGAAGAAATCTATTAAAATGATATGGGAAAGAAATTAATGAAGCCTCACATTGTTAAAGGGCAAATCAGCTACCTGATGCAAAATACAATGAAATGTTATTTTCACTTACGTGCAATTAGTATGAATACATCTGACTTTGCAGTACCACTGAACAGGCAACACAGTTATTTTGATTTTGATTTTTTTTAAACAAACCAGTTGATGCAGACATTGCATATATTTGCTTGAAAGAAATTAAAATACTGTACAAGTATGGTAACATTAATCACTCATTCTGTTTATAATTGACTGTTGTAAGGAAAGTCAACCTTGCAGCAACTGAGTTATTTCTGATGTCAGAAAAATAAAAAATAAACTAATTATTTTACTTAGGCTGTAGTGAAGTAAAAAAATATTAATGATGCCACATTCAGAAAATTAATTTTAAAGTAAACTAATTGGAGAAGATTTCTCCTTTATCGCAGATATCTTCATGGCCCATAAAAGGTCTTGGAATTTTGTATTGCATTCAGCCCATCCTCTTGGGTGTTCGGGACATTGTTAAACTAATGTACTAAATTGCCCAAACCTGAGGACCCATGAATAGAAAACGGGACATCATGTCAACTTTGCGAGCCGCTAAGATTTTTAGTACATCATTTGTTGGCCTTAGGTTATTTATACATCAAAATGTGATGTATATAAATGAGGTTGTAGAGGACAGGTTGTGGCAATAGTGTTTCCAAGCATAGATGTTAGTAAGTGGATGGTGATGCACCTGACATGGTGCCAGTGTTTAAATAATGTCCAGGAAGGTAGGTAAGGCTTTCACAACTTTTCCCAATATTTCAAATGATTGCCAGAGGTCTCTAGTGTAGAATGTCAACCACAGATTATTTAGGAACTTTGAATATTAAGCGGCACTTAAAATCATTCGCAAAAGACAGGAGCACCATAGGTAATTGTTTGAGAATACCAGGAGCAGTTTAAGGGTTAAAGTATCACAGTTTTATGTGAGATATGTTTGGCATATTCTAAGATTCATGATAACCTAAAATTTACATAGAAAATTAAATAAAATATAGTACAAAAATAATTACTAGTAAAATTTTGCAGTAAGCCAACTCTTAAGTAAATAGTGAGCAATCAAGTCATTGCAACACACACCAGCACTCCAGCTGGAGGTTGCAAGTGGTATAGTGTTCTTATGAGAGCCTTAGTCTGAACCATCCAACTATCTGAACCATCCCCACCCTGCCTTACACTCATGTACCTTAGTCTGAACCATCCAACTATCTGAACCATCCCCACCCTGCCTTACACTCATGTACCTTAGTCTGAACCATCCAACTATCTGAACCATCCCCACCCTGCCTTACACTCATGTACAGTAGTGCCATTTAGGGAAATATGTGCATTCAGTGAAGTCATCTGAATTCATGTACAATATTTGAAGTAAAGAACTACCTGTACAGTATTGTGTGTTTTATAAAGCTGTTGTTAAAAGTACAGTACAGTGTACAGTAGCTATATAACATTGGGAAATAGTAGTAATATTGACATAAGAATGGTGATTTTGTCTGTAGGTAGTAAGTATTGCCTGTGCTTCGGTAATGGTGAGGAACAAGATATTAGCAAGATGGTGGAGGGAAAATTAGTGTATAAGATGAATTTGGTAGTACTTGCTGCATATGAGACTGAGCAGTTAGACCTTGAGTAATGGGTAAAGGTACAGATGTACTGTATGTAATTTATGATTATAATTGAGTGGCTGATGAAAGTAAACTATGGAAATTATAGTCATACTTAAAAAAAATTTGATAAGAATTACTTTAATGATCTAAGAATAGTCTTAAAAGATCCCATCACTTTAGTGTATAACTAAAAGTAAAATTACTGTAGTCTCAGTTGTTATCTGTAGTTCATGTCACTAGCCCTGACTTGTGGGACCTGGACATGGAACAAAACACTAATATAAATATTAGGCTCCTGAAAAGACCAAAGAAATACATGTGGTATAATTAGGTGATAAGGAATAATACAAAGTGAATAGCATGTGTGAGAGTGCAGAGTATGCCAGGGATACAAGAACTTGAGTGGTAGAGTGGTTCAAGAAAAATATCTAGAATTGTTGGGTCATTGGAAGATGACAGATGGTTAACTTGCATGATAGATCAGCATACAGAAGAAGTGAAGGACTGTACTAGTATAGATGATAAAAGTGATGAAAGTCAAATATTGCCTACTTTCTGCAAAGGGAAAGTCAAATATTGTTTTACTTTATAGATCAGTCTCATTATAGCATAATGCATATAAAACAAGGAAAGGGAACTATCAGGAGAAAGTACCAAGCTATTACAACTATATAGCACTTGGAAAGGATCAGGATAAGGTTTTGAGATGGAAGGGAATTTGCCCAACCACTTGGACGGTTGGGGATTGTATGCCAACCTGACTGAAGTGAGAGTATATAAAACAGAGCAGATGATAATGTTTATACTGGATTACCTGGAAGCATTTATTTATTTTTTTATTTTATTATTTTTTTATATATACAAGAGTTCTTACATCCTTGTACAGCCACTAACACCCGTAGCATGCTAGAGGCAAGTACAAGTCCTTAATCCTGTTCCCCGGAATACAACCCGCCAAATCGTTTAACAACCAGGTACCCATTTTACTGTTGGATAAACAGATGCTATTGTTAGGGATTGACACCACCCAGTTAATCCTCCCCAGCCAGGATACGAACCCAAGTCAAAATTCTCGCGAAATGCCAGGCGAGTGTCTTACCACTACACCACGGGGACTGCTACTTAATAGATCATATGCTGTATGTTACAGCAGCCCCTTGGGAAAAAAGAGAGCCCTGTGGGGATCAAGGCAGATAAACAGACAGGTAGATCATTCATTATGGGCAGAATGACTGGAAAGTGTATATGAGAAATAATGTAATTGTTTTTCTATGGCAGTGTTAAAAGTACTGTACTGGTAATTTGTTGAATTCATGCATCTTGCATTCAGTGGGGACTTATGCAGATAGACTTTCCACTCAATTTTGTGCTATTTTGGTGTGATATGAATTGTTAAGAGTGCAAATAGTTGAATGCTTAGAGCATTTGCCAGATAATTTTACATCTTGTTTTATTCCCTAAATGATGAAATGACCACTAGCTTGTAATAAGAAGGGGACAGTCATGCAGGCTTCTTTACAAGTATAAACCGTAGGGTATTTGTAGGAAAGCTTCTCTATGATACTTCAAAGTGTCAAATTTGAAGTAGTCTGTTGATTGATTTATAATTGCAAAAATATTAAATTTTAGAGATACTGTACTGTACTTGCATATTTTAGTTAAAAGTGTAGAAATCACAAATAACAAAAAAAAAATAATTTAATATTATCACTGGAGGAAAACAAAGTTTACCTTGTTAATTAGGCTAAGAGTTGTTGAAGTGTCCTGGTCACTATATTGGCGACTTACACAGAAAATAAGTCACAATAACGTGACTGAAACAAATAACCCAACCCACACACACATGAAATGTAAGTGATGATGTTTTGGTCCATCCTGGACCCCTTATTAAGCCCTGGATGGTCCAAAATACAGCATTTTCATTTCATTTCATGTAATGCCTGTGGATTGGGTTATTTGGAGACTTAGTAAAGAGACACTTTCTTTACAGTTTAACATCTCAGAACACATCGCTAAGCGTATTCAGGTAACAGAGCATGAAGAACACACGACAAGTGATGACATCCTGTCTCAGGTACAATCAGGAGGCTAAGCATAATGGAGATCCTTGTTAAAAAAGCAAGCTTGTGTTACCATACTGGCAGATCCTTATATAGTTTTGAGTTTCCCAGCTTTTTAATGCTTATTTTTAATCTAATTCAAAATTTGGATTGAACATATCATGGGTATATATTCTGAGTGTATGCTAATACTTATTCTTTGAGTATAATATTGAGATCTTGTATAGTATTTATAGTGCATTAAAGTCTGAAAGTCAGACATTTAGTTTTACATGATACTTATAAAGACAGGAAGCAATTTGCTTACAGTTTCAAAATCAAGTACCATATTGGGAGAGTAAATTTCTGAAGCAGCTTTTTGTGCACGTCTAAATTGTTCATACCCAAGCTGTTGATGAGTCACTGCATGTTTACTCTAAAATTAAGGCTTGTGCTTATATCGTAGCATGTCCTCTGTTGGTACAGCAACCAGTGTGTTTCGTGTGACAAAACCGTAATGTTGGGGGTTGCCCTCTAACATTTAAGCTTTTTGACACTTGTATTGATTTAATATATACCTATCCTACTGGTAGCTTTTTATGATTAAAACTTTTTATATATACTGTATTTGGAAGTACTCCTGCAACTAATGCTAATATTTTTCCATTATAAGGATCTGGCATGAATCAAAATCATCAATAATACAATATCATCTTTCTTTTCTTCATGAGTTCGGTTTTGAGTAAATATTCTTGTTAAATACAAAACTGATTTACGTTTTTGTATAATTTTAGGACTTGCCTCTACCCACAAGCAATAGTGGAGGATGGAGTGGAGAACGAAGAAGCAGCGTTAGTGGAAGTGTGGGGTCGGCACCATCATCTCCAACGCTCTCCAGAACGGATGGCCCTCAATCCTTACCCACACAACCACCAGTACCATATGTTAGTGAAGCAATCAAGAAGTACGTGCCAACAATTGTTTTAATCAACATTTTGCATGTTTAAGTAAACTCTTAAAATGTTCATCATAAGATATGTGAAGCTAAAAATGATATATAAGCCATGTTTAAATAATCAACCCACATGTATGAAAAGAAGGGAAAGTGACAATGTTTTGGCATGTTGTGGATCCTTATTGAGTCAAAACTGAGGTCTAGGATGAATTAAATCATTAAAATTGTCCTTGCTTTTCATATGTATGGGTTGGAATATTTATATTTAGCCAGGTTATTTTTACTTATTCTCTGCATAAGTTGTGTTTATTTCCTTAAATTGGACTCCAAATTTTAATATACAAAGTTGTGTATTGGTTGCCTCATGATTGGTGTTGGACTTTCTGAGGCCCAGATCAAATCTAATCATTTTTCCCTGTGAATTGAGAATTCCCTTCTCGTATCCCCAGCTTCAATACTCATTTTCAAAAGGCAGCAAGGCCATACTTGAGTGAATGAAAACCTTGCCATGTCAGGAGACATGGCAAGGTACATGTCTCCTGACATGTACGTATGAATGTGAATGACATGAATACAGAGCAAGAATACATTGCTCTGTATTCACATACACACACCCTTACTTTATATGATAAAAATCTGTTGTATTATGTGTTGTTACAGATGCTTTCATTGATCTATATATGCTTGTTCAATTTTTTTGTAATGATGTAGCTTTTCTTTAACATGCTCTCATTAAATACTGACTTGTAAACAAACAAAAAATATCCCCCCTCCCCCCCTACCTCCACCCTCCCCCCTCCCCCATCGCTCCCCCTCCCTCCTGGAGCTCATTCCTAGTTAAACACAAGACAAATTTAGAGAAGACTCAGAGGTATGCCACCAGACTAGTCCCAGAACTGAGAGGTATGAGCTATGAGGAAAGACTTCCTCACATCCCTGGAAGACAGAAGAGCAAGGGGAGACATTATTACCAACTACAAAAATTTCAGAGGAATTGACAGGGTGGACAAAGACAAACTATTTAGCATGGATGGAACACAAACAAGGGGACACAGGTGGAAACTTAGTGCCCAAATGAGCCACAGAGACATTAGAAAGACTTTTTTCAGTGTCAGAGTAGGTAACAAATGGAATACATTAGGCAGTGATGTGGTGGAGGCAGACTCCATACACAGTTTCAAATGTAGAGTTGATAGAGCTAAATAGACTCAAGAAACTGTACATCAGTTGATTGACAATTGAGAGGTGGGACCAAAGAGTACACTACGTGAGTACACACACACAACTAGGTGAGTTCATACACAAAGTTCATAATGCTTGTTCTGCTGTACATTTTGTTGCTATTTCTTCACAGACTGTTGTATTTCTGTTCTGTGGATTAATGATACTGTTATTGCTTTGCATGTAAATATGTGCCTACTAAAATGCTTAATGTGTTTGCATGTTTGTCCTAGCATCCTTCATAGTCAACTTCATAGCCACTGTTCCCTTCATCGTGCACGCACAATTGGCCGACTGGAGGGTAAAAGTCGGCGCTCCTTACCGTATGTCAAGTTAGTTACTGTCTCTTGTACTCTAATTTTGCTTGACACGATAACATGCTTATTATTCTCTGGTAGTTGAAATGGCATTTGTGTTAATATTTATTATGTTATACAAGGTCAAATAAAATTAAGAACTGAAGAAGCATTATGCTGTAATACTGTTATTGCCAATAATAAATGTGTTCTTTGTGCTTGAAAGTATGAAAACACAAGCATTCATAATTGTAGTTATACAAAGTCGTGAGTTTAAAGACATTAGTGATAAGAGACCACCACAACTAGCCTTACAGCATAATACATTGTACAGTTTTGAAGACAGCTAACTTACTTTATGCTGCATGTCTTACTATTTTCTTGTCTTTTAAGCAGCTACATAATGCTTGTCTCTTAAGGCTAGTCTCTCAATATTAAGCTTTGCATGATATGTCTACCTCTGTAAGGCCCAGGCTGGAACGTGCAAGGACCATGGCAACTATTGACTGCCGTACTGCCAAAGAGCGACTAATGGCAGAGTAAGTCTTTTATGTTGTTTATAGTGAATGTGATGTAGTATTTGGGAGTACATTAGTAGCTCTGAAACTATTCTTATGTACTGTGTGAAAATATTTGAATCAATTTCAAAACTTCTAGTATATGATAAAGTATGACTAGGATGTTTGATAAGGAGTGAACAGGATTAGAGACTCAATGCACTTTATTCATCATCTATCATTATGAGAAAGAAGCTCTCCATGTTATATTTATAGAATTGTATCTATATATTTAAGTAAATTTATATCTTCTTAAACAGCAAAATGTTGTCAGATTGAATAGCAGTTTTTTACAGAACATTTACAGTGTTCATTATCATCATTACCCCATTTTCCCACACTACACTATTTGTGTAGTTCACAAATTATTTGTTCACAAATTCGATTTGTTCACCCCATTTTCCACGTCATGACTGTTGAGGCATTTGTTAGGCAATAAAAGTAATGTAACAATTTGGTTGAATATATTCGATGTGACACCCATTGCTTCACAATTGTTTCCACACTCCGCAACATCATAGAACACCAGCTGCATCACACTCCGATGTATTATCTGCATTAGTATCTCCACCACTTTGTAAGTTAGGCTTAAAGTTAGTATTTGACAGATGCCATGAACAATACGTTCATTATTAACACATGGTTTTCACTAAGCCCTGCTCACTACCATATTTCTGTGCTGTTTGCTCTCAGTCTGTGCTGCCTATTACTGTACATTCACTATAATTGTCCATCTTCATGGCTTTTTGCTCATTCTATTCTTGGATGCACTTGGATACTCTTTCATCACTAGCATCACTCCTACACTTAACATTATCTTTACATCTTGGTACACTTGCCTCAGTTTTATTAGTCACCAACTTTCTCACTCCATATCTTTTGATGATACTGTATCGCCAAGTAGACTCACGTCAGGTGACACAAATGGTGATGTTAGCTCCAGTGGTGTTGATCCAGGGCGGCATAGGAGGCTGGGGAAGGCGCGTGTACTATACACACTCTCTCTCGACATCATCCATCACATTCTCCCTATCACTTGTGTCAAACCCCTGTGTTAGGTCTTTATCTGGACTGTGGTCTAAATCATCAGTAATCGGTCCATCATCAAACAATGTCGCGTATTTCATTCTCGGAGAGTCGTTTTGCAGCACCACGACTGACCGTGGATTGGGAGCTTGTAGATGATGCATCAGACATGGTTGTTACCTTGAAACTGAGGCTCCTCATGGTCGTGGGGCATGCCGGGATATTTTTTTTCAAAATGGCGGATGCTCACTGGAGGCCTCGGGCATCAATTTCATATCCGAGTCACCATGCGTTAGTTTTGAATCCAACGCTATTCCTATGAGCACCCGGAGGAACTCTGCGCAACCCCAATCTAGTGCTTCAAGGCGCTCTGTGCAGTGCGGTGGTTAAGAAGCCTATCATTATGCACATAAAAAGTTAAGGGAGATGTCCTAAAATGCTTCCTTGTGACACTCCTGCAGTTAGTGGGAGAGATGTCATTGATGATTGTTGTTTGGATATACTGTAGTTCAAACCAAGGTTTCAAATTCTTTGGTAACGAAGTTTAAATTTAAGGTAATTGTGAGACGATATCAAAGGCTTTTCTCGGGTTAATGAAGAGGCCAATTGGGAATTTATTTTTGTCTAGGGCTGTGTAGATAAGTGAAGGAAATGTTTCGGAATCTGAAGCTGAATTGGCTTGAGTTTATATTGAATTTTACAAGTACAGTACAGCTGCTTGTATATAATCTTTCACAAATATATTTTATATTGATAGGTTTGAAGATGGAAGGTTACCCATTGCATGTGTAATTGTAATATTAAAAAAAAAATTGGATGACACCAACATCCTTTATTAAGGTGTTTGACAGCACCTTGATAAAGGATGTAGGTTTCATCCCAAAATTTTGTTTAATATTACACTTACACATGTATTGGGTCTTTAATTCATTCAAACACTATAACACATATAGCTCCCTATAACACATATAGGGAGTCAGGTGGCCGAGCGGACAGCACGCTGAACACGTGATCCTGTGGTCTTGGGTTCAATCCCGGGCGCCGGCGAGAAACGATGGGTAGAGTTTCTTTCACCCTAGACCCCTGTTACCTAGCAGTAAATAGGTACCTGGGAGTTAGTCAGCTGTCATGGGCTACTTCCTGAGTGTATGTGTGTGTGTGTGTGTGTGGTGTGGGGGGGGGGAAATAGTAGCAGTAGAAACAGTTGATTGACAGTTGAGAGGCAGGCCGAAAGAGCAGAGCTCAACCCCCGCAACCACAACTAGGTGAATACTATGGAAGTGTACTCTACTAAGTTTCTCAATTGATAGGTTTGATATCAGTTTGAATGACATGGATACAGTGTGTTATCACATTTGATCACTGTCTGAGACACTAATATCAGTTTGAATGACATTGATCTAATATTAATTCATATCATATTTTCATGGATTTTTAGATAATGTTGCACATTTGATTAATTTTTAATCATCTACTGTATTATAAAAATCTTAATAAAACAGCATAATTTAAAATAAGAGTGAATGCTTAAATTATAACACATTACACTATTATGTAGAATTGAAGAAGAGCAAAGAACAGACAATTTTTTTTCTTGTTACTCTGTGCAATCACTGTGTCTATTGGAAATAAGAGCCACTCATGACATATCTTTAGAGATCTCGTCTTAATTAAACTGAGATTTTTCCACGACAGGAAGCAGAAGCAGAGATCCCGGACCACACAGGTCGAGGAGCATTTGCGTGGAGAGCTCATGTGCGTGTGTGGAGACTGCAAAGCTATGGTACTGCACATTCTGGCGTCTATTAAAGTGCGGCGAGAACAGATGAGCAGTTCGACTTTACACGAGTCACCTCGTCATCACCTACATCTTAACCTTAACCCAGTGTACCACTAAGAGATATCGAGAGTCTTGGCGTAATATTATATTTTATTATTGTCATTATGACTCTGCTTACACCACAACATTTTAAATTAATGAAGGCTCATGGAACCATCTTGTTTGGAATTGTTTATATTCTTGTGTACCTTGTATTGAGCCAATATTTTATCTATTAAATTGTTTTGTGGTTATAACCTTAACTAGGCTATTGTAAAGGCTCGGCATATCTTTAAACCCCAAAACATTTAGCATGTAGTACTTAGCTGCTTTGGTACTGTAAAATCTTATGGGTGTTGTGTATGTGTGTATGTATATTTGTGCGCGCGCACACACACACACACAC